ACCAAAGTCCATCCAATCAGGAGGCTGATGAGGACTGCTCCAGCAGAGGCACACCAATAACTGTCTACGCTCTGTCTACCATCTTTGCCATTGGAGTGTCAATTGCTTTGGTCCTGCAGATTTACCTGGGTGAAAGTTTGGTATGCAATGGTGTCTAAAATTTGCACGTCGAACCCCTGTCGCATTATTTCTCGTCACGGCAGTTGTTTACAGGTCTTCCAACACGGGGAGTTGTTTTCGGATCACGAGCGCTGCACCGCACTCGGTCACAGAGTCCTTCGTGATGGTGGATCCAGTGTGGATGCTGCCATCGCCAGTGCCTTGTGTTTGGGAGTCGTTCATCCACACGTATCAGGTGTTGGTGGGTATGTGATTTGCTCATTGCTCGTTGCTGATGCGACTTCTATTTATAAATACACACGAAAGTCCCTGACCTTTTTTGATTTCCTCACTGTAGAGGAGGAATCATGCTCGTTCATGACATACACAGGAATGAAACCAGGGTGATCAACTTTCTGGGATCTGCTCCTAAAGCATTCAGAAGGGAGATGCTGCACAATATTTCACAGGCCAAGGTAGTATAAAGGCTGGGGTGGAGGAATCCTGAAACATCTGCATTTTTTCATTTGCACCTATAATTTATTTTCAGGCAGGTCTGCAAGTAGGAGTGCCAGGCATGCTCAGGGGACTGCACCGTGCCCACACACTGTACGGAGGGTAAGAATATAGAAAAGTTCATTTTAATTAGGTGTTTAGTGTTTTTTTGTTTGTTTGTTTTTTGTCACACGTCATGCCATAAATCTGCTGCAGTCTGCCATGGGAGGATGTTGTCAGCAGAGCTGCAGCTGTAGCAAGAGAAGGTTTCAATGTGTCTCACAGTTTAGGTGAGACAAACTGCTGCTCTTTGTATTTTCTCTCCTCTCTTCCTTCACAATACAATAATAAATACAATAATTTTAACATCAGGATGTTTTTTTTAATCTTCTACAGCTGATGCTATATCAAAGGTGAGTGGTGAGCAGCAATCTCAAAGCTTCAATAACACATTCATGCCACATGGAAGACCTCTGAGTGCTGGTTCATATGTGAGGTTGCCTCGCCTGGCAGGAGTCCTGGAGGCTGGTTTGTTGAATTTCTACCATGGCAACCTATCTCAAGAGATTGTAGATGAGGTGACTGATATTCATATACAAAATGGCATGACTTTGTGAGTCAAATATGACAGGTTTTTTAGTCCGGCATTGCCTTTCACTACAAAGGCACAAGCAAATGGAGGCGTACTGAGCAGAGAAGACATTGGTAACTACAGCGTGGATGTAGAAATACCCATTGAAGCCCAGTACAATGATAAAGGTGACATTTTACACACCAGACTTGATAAAATTATCTTTATTTTCTTCATGTCTTCATCTGCAGTTTGTTATTCTTGCCTTAGAGTTTATAATTCAAGTTCCTCCTCCTCCATCTGCTGGTGCAGTGTTGCTATC